ATATATATATATATAGTTAAAAGAATTATGTAACTTAAATGATGTTTTTTTATATAATATAAACTTTTTTGTGGTATTAATGCAAGAAATAAAATTTAGATGTTACATTTGCAAATATATAAGAATTAACTGACATGTTTGTAAAATGCCCCCAAGAAAATACTTAATATCACATAATTACAACAAAAAATATTGACATTTTAAATCTTTAAACTAAGAGATATAAAATTAAAAACATAAAATTAAAGAGAATGTATATTTAGGGAGCTGCAGTTTACTTAAAAAAACAGTTGTGAAACTACAAAATAATAATCTGGTATTCAAAAAGTTGCGGTGACTATTACAATTTATTAATATTTCTTTTCAAAATCAGATCGTAGCTAGAAAGTTGCTACCGCACCTAACTTGAAGTGGTGGGAAAACAAAGATTTCAGGGGCAGCTTTTTGAACAACATACCAAACTGCAGTTTACCCAAACAAACAAAACTGCGGTGCAGTGCCGCACCGCCACCACATCGCCTCCCTAAACATAATTTAATTAAAAAGTTATAGAATTAGGAAGCAAATATTTATCATTACCATTATTTATTATTATTATTATTATTAGTGGTATTTACATGCACACCACCCATTTTTTATGTTTTTACATGTCCGACACCTAAACTTTACTTCTTATATTTATACCCCTCAAATCATTTATATGACATTAAAAATTTAATTTTTTTTGAAAGTGAAATACATTTTTTCATGCATGGGTAAGTTAAAATACAGCCGAACTTGTGAATATATAAATGACATATATGTAAAAATTAAAATACAGCCGTTAAATATGTAAATACATAAAAATTAAGTCATTTTTACATAAATGACTTAATTCTACGATTCGAACTTGTGACTTCACGGTAGGGCTGTCAAAAAAGCTCGTTGTTCGCGAACAATTCGTGTTCGGTTCGTCAATGAGTTCGTGTTCGATTCGTTCGATAAGTAAACGAGATGAACACGAACAAATTTTTTTCGTTCGGTTTGTTAAACGAACCAAACACGAACAGTG